CATACCCTATTTTTATATTGATTAAAAAACATTCGTGGCAAAACGCATTGATTATGAAGCAAAAATGTTTGGAAGGATAATAGTTGGTTGCTTAGAAGATATTTACCAAGTTTACGGAGAGCTGCATAGAACTCCACTATGGAACGGCCTCCATATGTACCTCAACATGGCGGCAGCCTGCTCGTTGCATGTGGATGGTCACCTGACTGAATACGCCGTATAGATTTTAATCGCTGTTTGAAATGTAACTCTACCTTTTAGAATTGATAAATGTATATATTTTGGCGAAATGTTTTGGCAAAACAAGCCTCGCGATTCAGCCATCGCGGCTGCCAGGAAGCTTGTTACTGTTCCTATGTTCTTCTTTGCTGAATAAACCAGTCTAAAATATGTGCGTAAACTATAAAGCTGATAGTCACATTAACTATAGCTCTGGCCTTATATTTCTTTAACAAACGTCACGATTTTCTTTGTTTTAGAACCTCCATCCTGGTCAGCATCCTCGGAGTTTGATTCACTTCACTCAGCTGCCCGCGCAGATATCAACTCTCGCGAGACTGCAGATGCAGCAGGCGCATGGGCAGCAGCAACCAATGACCAGGACCAATGGCTGATGAGGGATCTTAGTGACGTAAGCGTCATCACCGGCATCATCACCAAAGGCAGGAACTACAGCCCTGATTGGCCATGGGACAAACATGACCAATACGTCACATCCTACACCATTTCATACGGCAATGAAATCGGTGATGAGACTTTCTACACCGATGCTGATGGACAAGTTACAGTAAGAATCATTCCTCCTTTTATTTAAATAGCTATCTACTAAGATATTTGCATGTTAAAATCGTAGTCCTAAATTAAATATAGAAACAAGCAGATACTATAATGTAGCCCATGACTTTGCCCATTTTGTCGAAAGCAAATTGAATATTAATTTCACTTTGTCATGGGATGCTCTAGATGTGATGTTTTGCGTCAGCTATTCACATTTCTTTAGTCTATGACAACAGATTTGAAGAGAATCGATGCTACAGATAGATTTCAATATATCTTTATATCATGATTAGCCTCAATTATATTGATTGTAACACTATATCACCGACTTATTCTAGCCCTTGTTGTTTTAGTAATAAGAAAGATAAGTTATAGCATGTAACTTTTCTACGTTCATTGGTCTGTTTCCTTTTGCCAGGATACTTTGTCTTGCAATAAAGTTGAACTTCTCAAAGTGTGGATGTGGCTGTTTCCAAATAGGGCTTGATCTTTTTGGCATATAGACAATGTCTTTATAATTACGCTGCAGATTTTTCCGGCGAATGACGACAGAGACACGGAGGTCTACAACGACTTCAGAGACTTCAGTGGTCGCATAACTGCGCGCTTCGTCAAAATCCATCCGCAAACATGGCATGAGCACATCTCCATGCGGGCGAAGATTGTGACAGGTTAGAAACGTAATACTGTCATAGGGGAGGTAACATTTTGAGGAAAATGCAATTTTGGGTGAAATACGCCCCTAGGAATATGAAGACCTGAATGTCAACATTTGATCAAATTTCAAATGTTCTCCCCCATGTTCAGACTGCCTAACATTTGTGTCACTTCAATGCATTAAACTACGCATAAAGCCATGCTAGAAAATAGTCAATGCTCTAAAGTTAGTATTTTGGCATTTCATGGCAGAAAATTTAAGGTCAGATGACATCACAATGAATATCTCAACCCCAAAATCTATTCCCAATGTAAATATGGACTATTGCAAAATCACATTGCAAAAATACACTATTACAAAATTACAATAAGTGCAAATAGAATATTCTTATTCCGCAGTAGACTGGACACCGGTCCACCGTATTTTGCACGTAACTTGTCAAACTGAAAGCATAGAAGAAACGTAGCTTTAGGTATTAATCTCCAAGCAGATCCTAGGGTGGCAAAATACAGTATCAAATTGGCCAGAGAGGGTCTACCTGGCGAATGGATGCTGTCTGTCCAATTTTATACTGTCTTTGCTACCCTACGATCTGCCTGGAGATTACTTAGGTATGTGATATCGTTCGAATCTACCCGTCAATACACCGATGGTGTAGCCACGTCCACTTTCGTCAAACGTTTTGTAATACCCTTTCATACAGAAGAAAAATCATCGGCCGACAAAATTTGTCGACCTTCAGATCAAGACATACGGCCGAGGCTCGGCGACTATAGCCCTGTTCAGATGAAATCAGTGAAAGCGCATTGCATGTGGTTCCCACCGAAAGAGGATTCAAGTGGCCCTATATGATGAGCTAAACACTCCAATCGCATTTTGAACAAGTAAAATCTGACATTTTATACCTCCGGGCATTTTATTGTATGTTCTTATATGTTGTTTGTTATGTATAGTTAGTGGTTGTGTCACGAGACGCAGGTCAACATTTTAATCTGCAGCTTATAACATGTACCCAGGAACTTATGAACGCGTTTTTTTTTTTCAAATTAATTATTGGACAGGGCTGTGTGGACTGGTCCATTTTTAGTACGGGGGATATGGTGAAGCCATTTGCTGCATTCGCTCCCGAACCTTTCTAGTTCCTCAATATTTTGTGTACAGAATACAGATCGCTAACGGCTCCTGTGTTAATAATGTTTTATTGTTGGCCTGAATTACCCTTAATATCTGTCATGAGTAGTAGAGACGTCAACAAGTTTTGTGCTACAATTTTTTATTCTTTTTTGCCGATTCAACCAAGGTCCACTTTTACCTCAAAATCAATCTGAAACTTTTGTGTAATTTTTCGGTAAAAGAATCAGGCTGGCTAGAGCCCTGTCCTACACGTTGTTCTGATTCCGTTAACTTAACGTATATAAGCCCTAGCCGTTATCATAAGAAATATACTAAGTATGCAAAGGCTCCATTTGCCTATGTGTAATGTGAAAATGCTGTAATATCATTATGATATAGTGATTAATGGATTTTATGCTTGTGGTAGTAAAGTTGTTGTTGTTGTAAAGGTGAATATCATTGGACATGATTCACTTTCATAATATCTGAGAAAAACTAACTGCTCCTCGTGTGTTTGCTATTGGTTGTTGATCTTTTCTTAAGTAGCTACTCAGAAATGGCGCGAGGATCTCCGCTGTGGAGCCGGTTACACTACAGCAGACGGGAGGACCGCTGAGTGTGATCCTGACAGTATCTACCCGTGCTGCTCTCCTAATAACTGGTGTGGGAACACGGCAGATCACTGTGACTGCGCGGGCTGTGTCGACTACCGGGACACAGGTCTGTGTTTTATAATTAATGTGTCTGCTTGCGGGCGAAGATTGTGACACGTCTGCGTCTGTGTTTGTGTTCCTACCATGTTTATGTTTAACTTAAGATTTTCTTTAACAACCCTTCATATTGTTAGGTTTGGGCATCTCTGCGTCACGTTCTTGGGCTCCATATATCAAAATGTTATATTGACGCTAATTTAAGTTCTATGTATACGTTATGGTAACGTACGAAAGTCAAGCAAGTTATCATAACGAATAACGCATTACGTTAACGTATGCTGTCTATTACACAAAAGTCACAAGCATACGCGCGATTGAACGTGCTGCAATTTAACTTTAGTTTGTTTTATTTTTATCTCTATTACTGTATTGACACTATTCTTCTTTGTGTCTATACAACACAACATAGTCAAATAGATATGAATAACAAACATTTATACAATTGAAATACAGAGGTCAACAAAAAAAATAATGGTAACATAATTCGAGTTTTTACGTAGACAACAAAGGTGCCAACAAAATTGACAAAGATATAATTAACATAAATGATGAATATAACAACACAATAATGCTAATCATAATTCCAAACATAAACATAGTAACTTAAATTAATCAACCATATACGTATCTGAAAGGTAGCAACAGTAACAAAACATGATAGAATAATAATGACTTTTTAATATGAAATAGTATATACAATGAGAAGCCATGTGTAGCATTTGCATGCTACCACCATAGGCTCAGTGTTGAAGATTTACTCTGTGTCTTAGCTCAATCTATTATTCTAGTTTTGAATTCAGCACAGTTCTTTGTGATTATGTTACTTGGGAATGTTTTATACGTTCTTGTGCATCTATAAAGAAATGTTCTAGTCAAAGATTTGGTTCTGTGTTTGAGTAGTGTGAAACCTTGTTTGTGTGACAATCTTGTGTTGGTGTAAGATTTGAGTGGTGGAATAAGTCTCTGCGTTCCTGAGATCTTTGTCTTCTTGGGCGTACTCAGCCATTCAGTGATGAGCCACAGATGAAGTGATGTTCAGCTCCTTATTTATTCTCTCACTGGGAGGGTCTATTTCTTGTGGTCTGGATCTTCTAGACTGACTCTTGTTGCACATGCGTGTTAGTCTACATGTTAATGCTCTTAACTGTTAACACATGTTACAAGTGGCACTGACTGTCAAATCTGCTCTCTGGTTGTTTGGCTGTAACAAGTTTATGGAAGGCACTTAAAGTAGAGGTGTACATTCTCTCTTTGGCATGTTGCCAGTTAAACCTAGAATATAGATCATCAGAACTAGTTGAATTCGCTACAAGCCTGTCTTCTCTGTTTGCCTAGTCTGTAGTTTATCTAATTACAGCCATTAAAAATAGAGGTATTGTTTTTGGTGTGTGTGTGTGTGTGTGTGTGTGTGTGTGTGTGTGTGTGTGTGTGTGTGTGTGTGTGTGCCTGCCTGTCTGTCTGTCTGTCTGTGTTTCCGCGACTTTGTGGTCATCATACATTTCAGAACGTCTTTATGGATTGTGATGATATTTGGTGTTTTGGTAGGTCGTAGGAAGACAAAGATCAAGGTGAAATATTTGCCTGCTTGTGGCTGGCCCTAATACTCAAGTCAAGTTTCAAGTTTATTTATTTTACCAGGGTGTATTTCAGATCCGTGGATCTGTTTATCAAATATCCCTGGGCACACATTTAAAACATGCATTCATAAAAATTACAACACAATGACATACAAATAGAGTTACGAACATACGAAGTGGTCACAGTATACTGTATGCACATTTAGTCAAATCAGTTTCCAGGTTCAGTCCTACAGTCGTATATTATTTATGTAAATGAGGACCACAATCGCATGATTATTGAAAAACATAAATAATACATCATCCCTATTATCATTTGGCAAAAGTAGGAAGTCGTAAAAACTTGTTTTTACTGTTGGTTGTTTATCCTTTATTTCTGTAGTAGCTACTCAGAAATGGCGCGAGGATCTCCGCTGTGGAGCCGGTTACACTACAGCAGACGGGAGGACCGCTGAGTGTGACCCTGACAGTATCTACCCGTGCTGCTCTCCTATTAACTGGTGTGGGAACACGGCAGATCACTGTGACTGCGCGGATTGTGTCGACTACCGGGACACAGGTCTGTGTCTAATAATTACCTTCGCCAAGAAGGCTATGGTTTCCATAGCATATGTATGTGTGTGGTGTGTCTGTTGTGTGTGTAGTTGTCTAAGTTTATGTTAAAGATTTTCCTTAACATTAAACACTTTTATTCTGTTGTTTTAATGCATTTTATGATTTAACATGTCACAAGGCTGAATTCAATGTGACTTGACATTGTACGATATAGATACTAAAAGAAATCTTTAAAATGTTAAGATTATGTGGTTATGCTGGATAGGCATTATGCTCTTGTTCCACAGATCCTGTATATGTGTATAAAGATCTGGATGAGACCTATAATGATTTAGAACCCTTGGCGGCTTCCCTAGGTACTACAGCAGAACTTCCGGTTTTGATATCTCATTATCTTGACATGTTAGGGTCACGCAGTTTAGATTGTAGATCAAGGAAAGGAATGATATTAATTTAGGCCCCCTAGCAGCTTGGTCTGTAAATGTTTAAAAATTCTTAAGGAAGCTAACGTGATGCTTGACATAATTTCATAATAATCATATAAAGCAGGAGCAATTTTTTTATATCTTCTTTAAACATTTCTCTAAATCTGCTATAATCTATAATATTCCTTTGGAACACTTGTGACACGTGATTAGAGGAACATCTAAACAAAGAATACAAATTCAAATATTTTTTTCATAAATATTATTAAGTATTAATATAATTTCATAGTTGCAACTGCGAGGCAGTTTGTACTTTCCGCACTTGGAAGTTATGTAAAGGTAAACATCGATAAACACAATTTTTTATTCAAATCATAACCTCTTTTGCATAATTTATGAGAAAATGCTACAGTTAACTTCTCTGTTTTGATAAGGCTGTCATTGGGTGGAGAAAATGACCAACTGACATAATCAATGATGAAAATAACATGAGGATCTGATTTGCATAATTAATGAGAAAATGTATAATTTTGTCAGTCGGAAAGTCTTAGCACCATTTGTCGGTATGGGGTGTGTGGTGTGTCTGTTGTGTGTGTAGTTGTCTAAGTTTATGTTAAAGATTTTCCGTAACATTTTTATAAACACTTTTATTCTGTTGTTTTAATGCATTTTATGATTTAACATGTCACAAGGCTGAATTCAATGTGACTTGACATTGTACGATATAGATACTAAAAGAAATCTTTAAAATGTTAAGATTATGTGGTTATGCTGGATAGGCATTATGCTCTTGTTCCACAGATCCTGTATGTGACATTTAAGTTCATAAGAAGGTCATATAATTTTTTATATAAACAATAGTTAACATTTGATATTACCTAAAATTACATAAATCATTTTAAGGAAACTTTTAACCCAGTGATTTTATGTGTATTACTTTTTATCATTTATAGACCCCATTCTGGATCCCTGATCTGGTTCCCTCACCAGTAGAACAACGTTCATCGACAACGTTACGCGATCAGTGACGAGCAAAGTGTCTATCTGCATGCAGTTCTGATGCAAACAGATAGGACTACAACATGTGCTTATATTCTACATGCGTTTTTATAATAAGTATGTGAGTCATCTAGAATTTGTAATACACTTTTCTTCTGACATTTAACATTGTATTTACTCTGTTCGCCTCAATAAACTGGCAAATACCTCACTATTGTGCTTTTTATTCATATTTATATACAATTTATTTCATATATTTGAATATGTAAAGTAGATACCATTTATTTTAAAACGTATCAAATAAGCCTAATCTAGAAAAGGAAAGAATTTGAAAACTCTCCCACCCAGTGTATCTTGGAGTCACTGTACTTTAGAGAAATAGAAGTTACCGAGGAAGCTCAAGATGATACAACTGGCACAACCTGCAGCTGCGGAGAGAACTTCAGACCACCCAGCACCTGATGCACAGCTGCATCTGCGGAGAGAACTCCAGACCACCCAGCGCTTGATGCACAGCTGCATCTGCGGAGAGAACTCCAGACCACCCAGCACCTGATGCACAGCTGAATCTGCGGAGAGAACTCCAGACCACCCAGCACCTGATACACAGCTGCATTTGCGGAGAGAACTCCAGACCACCCAGCACCTGATGCACAGCTGTAGTGATAGACCTACCTGCAGGGACACAGACCTCCGATCCGGGTGCACAACCAAACAGCCACAGTGACAGGCTGTGATGATGATAAAATCAGGCAAATCTTATTTCAATAACAGGTACTCTTAATAGTAAAAATTCACCCAATTAAATTGAGAACGAATTAGAATTACCTCAGGATTACTTGTATTGTAGACTATATATTGTTTATTCAACAGGGCTATCCCTTTATAATAATATTTGCGTCAGGAAAAGCAGGGCAGTTCTTTAGGCACGTATGAAGAAGCCGAGAGGGTGTACTATACAATGATGCCCCGCAGTTTTCACAAGGCGGCAGCAGCAGGGGAGTGAAACCAGCAGGCCACGAAAACACCCGTCCTGCTCATCAGAGTGGTTCATGCGGGCGTGTCCGCCATGGCAACGGCGCTTCTCACAAGCTGCAAGAAGACCAAGAGACGTTTTCACACACGTACGAAGACCTTCTACAAAAAGGTTATGCTTCTTTGTCGTTGTAAGCTAAGGTATGTGTTTGTTTACAATTGCTAGATGGGGTACTTATTGTTTATTGTCCTAACTTTGCACACTTCTGTAGTTCTGCTGTCTTCAGAACTCGGTGATGAAGTTAACAAAAATAAAAACTGAATTTGATAATATTTCAGCTTTCTTTTTATTGTAAAACTGCGATTGTGTGTATTTCTCGCCTTACATGAGGAGTATTACGTAGACTGTATAACTGCTTTGTTTGGCTTCTGTGTTCATTTTTATGACGGAATGTGATGTTGTAAATGTTTTTTTTACAGTTTATAGGTAGCTTGAAGTGTGGAAAAAGTTTGAATTTGGTCATTCTAGTTAGCCTGGTTACCAAACCTATTATAGCTCCCGAGTCCTACATCCTTTCCGCAAATAGGAGAGGATGTAGGACTCGGGAGCTATAATAGGTTTGGTAACTAGGCTACATTCTAGTGTATTGCAGCGGCATTTATAAGTTTGACATTTAGCTAGCTTCGAATGGTATTTCAATTCAAACGGATGTTCCCAGCTGGCCCGGGGGGTGGTAACAGATGTTTATAAGGTTGTTGTTTCTGTCTTTGGACATATGTTTCCAATGCAAGCATAAACAGTAGACCACGGCTTCATGGTCCGTCCTTAGGGGACTCTTTCCAGGAGCATGCAAGTCAATAAAACCACCAACATGAAAACCCCACTGCACTCCAAACAACGACAAGCTGACAACAATGACAAGTATCGTGACTATGTCGGAAAAATTCCGTACTGTAACATGTGGTTCTGTACTCCGACTTACGTATCACAAACATCTTTTGGTTAACATACCAGCAAAATAAAAGTCAAACTATATACAGACAACCCAAACTCATACATGACGAAAGTATGAGAAGTAGCTAAAACACGTCGCTCCTATACTACAACTGTAAAAATATAATGTCAGTACTCTGTGCACTAGACATGTCTGTCTGTGTGTGTCTGTCTGTCTGTCTGTCTGTGTGTGTGTGTGTTTCTGTGTGTATATCTGTGTGTGTGTGTGTGTATGTGTGTGCCTGTGTGTGTATGTGTGTGCCTGTGTGTGTGTGTGTGTGTGTGTGTGTGTGTGTGAGTGTGTGTGTGT